TATTAGTATCTCATAATAATATTGATAATAATAGTAATATTAGTGACACTATATAAAATTGACTTAAAATAACGATATAGAAAAATTTAACTTGGTAATCTTGTAATTTGAACATAAGAGTTTAAATATGTAGATATCTTTGTAGAATATAATTAAATAAAATATATCACATATATATAAAAAAAAATTACATATTAAATCTTAAATTAAAAACAGAATGATCATAATTCTTGCACGAGAATGTTCCAATTCTTGCATTAGATATGTATAGTAATATTTCGAAAATTAAAGTAGTAGCAAATATGATTGACATGATATTATAAGAACACTATTATAGTAGCTTTTATTAAAGTAGGAATCGTGTGAAGGATTTTTTTTTAAGAGAGAATAGAAACTGAAAAAATCAGTATTTAAAAATAATGTGATTAATTAAGTTACTGCATATTTTAATAAAAGTGAAATATCCTTGTATACAGATTGCATTTAGTTTTTATAAAAGATAATGTAAACTTACTATTATTTAATAATCAATACTTTTCATTAGTTAATCATAAATTAGTCGAATTTTATTCAACAGTTTTTTTATTGTTATATCAAATAATTGTAATATGAAATTTTTGATCTATTAATAATACGTTAACTAATAATAAATTTATATATATTTCAAGAGGAAAAATTAAAATTACATTAACATATTGTCTTATTTATGTAGATACATCTTGTTAACATTTTATTTTTGATGAATTAAATTTATTTAGCTGTTTCAATAATGATTTACTATATATATATATATATATATATGTATTTCTGACATGACATACGATACCGTAAGATATGCCTAACTAGATTATTTATTAACTATTTATACGGAAGAAATTTTCTTAATTTATCGAGATATATCCCATTTATGTCAAAAAAGACAATATAACAAAAATTAATACAAAGAAACTCGCAAAATAGTGATATGTTCGAGCATTCCATGTTAAAGATTTTAATTTTATTTGTTAGATGAAGTATTTTCATAGTGTCGCTAATGTGATAATTGCATTAATATTGTAAGTTATTAATATTATTTAGAGGCAAAAAATGTAATTATGTTTATTCTTTTAATTAAGTGAGTTTCTAATCAATTTCATATATCAATTGCAATATTATTTTAAGAGTCAAATTATATTTTCCTAATACGCGAGAGAAATAGAGAGAGAGAGAGATGAAATAAGTTTGCAATTTCGTTATTTGTATGGATAGTATTATGTGAAGAATAATTTTATATATACACCACAGTAAAAAAGTTCTCGAAAAAATAAATTATAAAAAAAAGTTTTTGCCATTTGCAATTTCATGAAGTAGTTGTTAAGATATGAAAGTTAAAAACAGGATAATTATATGTTAAACTATATAGACTAAATTATAGGTTAAATGATTGTTTAACGATAAGCTATAATTGATTAAGTTTTTAATATTTATATCTCAAAAATTACTATTAGATATGGCAAATCGCAAATACTCATAACTTATTTTTTCGAGGACTCTTATTATGTATTTTTGATTTATGAATTTCGGGGCACTATGTATATAAAAGATTGACAATATACAAGTATACATACAGCGTCGATACCATCTATACTACTTGTATGCATGTGGCATTTTTATTTTTAAATTAGAAATATTGAGTCCATTTGTTATTGTTATCGTATGATTTAGATTGATCTTGCAATTAAAATCGTGAATGAATTTCCCGTCAGTTTCAGCCTCATTTATATGATATTTATAAATACTTGGCTTATATACAAAATACGTTGCCAGTGAATTGTTCACAATTTTGTACATGACTTCGCGTTGCCTTTATACATATATTTTGTACAAAAAGATACATTACTTCTTATTTTCAATGTAGATTGTAAATAATGTCGATAACGTTAAGTATGTGGAATTATATTCTGGCGAGTACTCATATTGCACAATGCGTTCCATAGCGAATCAATTGTATTCAAATAAAATCTTCTCTGCATGATATACGGAAAACTCTAAAAATTAGCCAAATTTTATTTCAATGGAATATTTTCGATTGAATATCCATCTTAAAAATATGATTAAATACATTTCGTAGTACATACGATGTTAAATACAATGTTAAATGATTCACTAACAACTTTTTCAATCAAATTTAATTAGGAAAAGATTAAAAAAAGAAACGGTATGAAGACTATCTCTTCATTACATCAATGTTGGCTATTTACGCACGGTCTATATATATATATATATATAAAATACATAAATTAAAATATACAAAACATTTATACACATAGTATCTCAGCATTGTCCTTTGAACGATTGTTCAAATCGACATTTATAAAAAAAAATTCTCACGTTATAAAGGATAAAAATAAAAGAATGAATTCATTTTTAGAGGTACAAATAGAAGAAAGAAAATTAAAATAATTTTTCAGTTAATCTCATTTTTTAAATTACATTAAAATAATTTTATATTTAATACTGTACTGTATGCTTGATAAGCATTTAAATAACGTCAGACTTATGCAACCTTAATATGATCTCAAATTTATATAGTTATATTAAAGAATAAAAGTAAATAATTTTATAATAAATAAAAGGATACTGATGGGACAATATATGTATAATCTAGATAAACGAATAATGTGAAACTGCTTTTCATCATTTGATTTAGATTACACATTAACAATTTATATTACACACGTAAATATCCAACATTGGTTCTAACTGATTGTATACAAATTTGCACAGTGAGAATATTAGTACTGTTGTAATTATGTTTCTTTGCACTGTACAGTATTACTTTCACTAAACACAATTGCTATTTAATAAGATAAGATTAAACAACACATTCACACTTTGGAAATTTGTAAACTCTGTATTCAAAAGTCTTTCTCTTCATTTAAAAATAATTGAAAAGAGAGGAAAATTTTTCAACATTTAGTATCAGTACGTATAAAAAAGGCCTTTCATTTAGTATATCATATAATAATCTCTCAAGTCTACGAGTTAATATTCAGGTACTAAGATATCTGAGATAGATACACATACGTGTAACATTGTTACACTGTCACTAGCATTCGAGTTGTGAAAATATTGTAAGGTTTTGGGTAAAGTGAATAAAGAATTCTAAGTCTAGCTGTATTTTTTTATTTATATAACAAGATTTATGTAATCCATAACAGTACATTAAATCGGCATTAAAATGCAATGAAATGCTTATGAAATATAAGTAAAGGCTGATAAACTAGATGAATAGAACCAATAGGTACATACGAAATAAAGTTTATTTCCCAAATATTTATAATCACTATGTACACGATTCTGTACAAAAGTTTAGAAAAACTAATTCACGAACACTACATACAGCAAACGCAAATATAATAAATATGTACATTATAAATAATCATCTTAGTGATCACACCTAGTTCACTCTAATCATCAGTATTCAATTTTATATTAAAAACAGCATTATTTATAAATATAGATTGTAATATACAATCTTTCATATTTATATATATATATTTATATATATAAATACATGTATATGTCGTCAACATAAAAATTTACTAGACGATAAATGAAAAGAACAGCTTTTAAAATTTTATGCAGTAAATGTCTCTTTTGTGCTATTCATTCATCCACAATAGTGACATAAAAATTTATACAACATATACACAAGATATTAAAACGATATTAGGTTTCAGTATATAGCAATGTAGAATCTATGGCGACTTAGAATCTAAATCAAATCACTTTGATGTAAAATGTTTAAAAATATGAGGAAAAATACATTGCATTAGGCAATGCTTTGTTGAATATTTTCTCTTTTCTCTTTCGCATTTCTTTCCCAAAGAAATTATGTGTTGAATATGTATGAATTCCTATTTATTATTTTAGAAACAAAAAATGTAAAATTTAGTTATTTATTTAGGACGAATGGTTTTCATGCCTATTGAATGAGGCCTCGAAAAAGACATTGACTATTTGATTTTATTGTACTATATAATTATTTTCGTGATTTAATCTTGTACAAAAAATAATGTAGCTATACTCAATGAACACTTGAAGTGAGACACCCTGTATACTATTACGTCAAGAATCGTTTTTAAAAATCATTTTTTGTTTGATTATAATATGAATAAAATATAATTTATCGCATTCTTAATTTCTACATATAATATAATTACACTAAATCACAAGAAACAAGCAAATCGTATACATTAAGATTTATAAAAAACAGAAGATTTCCTTATTATTTTTCCTTTGGCTGTATTATTTACGACATAAGTTAATAAATTATGTATATTAAAAATATGAGCATTCAGGGCATTTAGATTCTCACCCGAGGTGCCATTTTATCTTTGTTGCTCATCGAATGTTAAACAATAGATAACATGATACCTGGAAAGCACTCGAGTGGGAATCTGAACGCACCTCAGGAAGAATGTAACGAGTTCACTAATTCTAGCAATAAAAAATAACATTGTAACGAGTGTCCTGAGATTATTGCATACAATACAAAGGAACAAACGCAAACAAATCGAAAAATACTTAAATATTATACAATTATTTAAAGATATTAAAATGGAATTCTTTTTGAAAAAAATCGTTTTTGAAAATAAAATTATAAATAAATATATAAAACACAAATAAATATATTACACACATATTTTATCTTTATACAATTAAATAAAATTAAACAATAGAAATAAAAATAGTATTACATGGAAGCATTAAATATGTGACAAATTTATAATCTGTAACATATGTACATACGTATGTGTGTGTAGATTCTCATAATTTTGTATGATAATATCTAACAAAAAATGTTAGTAAAAATCAATAAAATGAATTTTATATTATACACATACATAATTATTTGAGAGCTAGTATCACTTAAAACTTCCATGTATAACACGTGCAATTATATCAATCAAGCGATTGATTTAATTGTTCAAACTAAATGCATTGTAAATTTCGCCGTTAAGTAAAATAAAATGTCTATTATTTACAATATTGACCAAGTAATCTACAGGCACACATTCTCTGTAAATATTGTACAGTTTGTTATCGTGTGCTTTCTCTACTTAAACGTAGATAATGTTAGTATACTGCAGAGAACTTGGCATTAAAAATGCATTGTACAGCCTCAAACGAGCTTTTTGAGGATATGTTTTCTTTTTTAATGTAATGTGTTAGCCATCCAATGGTGGTCCTAAGTATACCATGGATACTTCTGTATTTCCATAAACCGCAGATACAGATGGATATAATCTTTTATCTGGTAACCCTGTTTATCAAAGTGATTTGTAAAATACATTCTTGTTTTAGTATTTCAAGGATTTGAAAAACAAAAAAAGAAAACGATATATAATTTTTTCAAACTTTAGATACTAATAATGATAGTAGGTAGTAATAACATAAAAATATAAAGAAATATAGATAAAATGTCATACCTCTAAAAGCTACACCCAGAAATTCGTAATTCTTTTCGAAAGATAAGGTATTATCATCACAATCCAAAATTACTCTAATCCTTTCCCCAACCTATAAATGGAAATTATCAAATGTTAGAAATATTTTTAAACGAGTCACGACAAATATCTATGAATAAATATAAAAAGAAAAAATATATATACACACACACAAAACAAAGTGATTCGGTTACAATCAAATACAATTCATGACAAATTTAATACCTGATATTTTGGAGCATTGTTGAGTAAAGGATAATTTCCTTGTGGATCTCCATTATGTAGCAAATGGTTGTCGACAAGGTTCCAACCCCAGGAATGTTCATCGGAGCCAAGCAACGCTACGTATCCATGACACAACAAAGGTGCTTCTTTAGTGGCTATTCCTATTACTGCTACTGTTCCTAATGGTCCTTCCCAGATTACTTCCCAGGCGTGACGCCCATGTCGAAAGCCTATCTTGCCTCTACACGCATCTGTACTCTGGGCTACTGGATTTCTGCAATGATATGGTAACTGATGCGAGACATTTTGGATATTGTATTTGTCAGATTACTTCATGCTTCTACTATATCATTATAATCTTCATTAATCGCTTAAGAAATTCTATTGTTTATGTACATTCTCCTAGAGATCAATTACAAGTTAGTTCAACTGTAGCTCTTTCAAGGATCTAAAAAAAAAACATCCTCCAACTATATTGTCCTACAAAAAAGGTCGTGGATCTCTTTCTCTGTAGCCTTGTCTGCTACATCATTGACAGCTGGTTTTATAACAGAAAGCAACATTTATAACCAGTCAAGATTGCTCTCGAAATATATCTGTGCTAAAAGTACAAACGGAGTCTTCGTTTTCGACGAGCGTGACGCATGGGAGGAACAACGTCGTCGCACACCAACCTGTGCAAGGTGAATCCGTTGGGTTTTATGTAAATGTTCCGCGAGCAATCGTTCGGATTCCACGCATGATAGAACGCACGCAGTTTCGACTTGTATGTAGGCACAGACGACAACAAGTCGGAGCTAAGGGCCTCCTGAGCAAGCTTTCTTATGCAGTGCATCCGCCACACGTCATTGTTCTCGTCGTTGAGAAACCGGTACCATCGTTTGCACACCAGTGAGCAGTTTCTCAGCGTGTGCAGGTCCAGATACGAGAATATCACCTCTAAAACATGATCAGACGCCCGCAATGCTATATCGTCCATTTTGCCGGGTCTGTCTTGGGAGGAACGAGCGTAAACATATGCGGCACAGAAACACTGTCCGTACGTCACAAACTACGCGCATGTTAGACGGGTACGGGCATTGACGTTCATCGGCGCAGCCCGATTCTAGGGAATGTATCCGAGATATTATCGAGTATCCCACATTCCCGGTTTCACACATTCATGCATTTCAGGACGAATTCAGGACAACTTCGATGGAGCTCCAGTTAATTAAAAGTCTACATGAACTAGAAGAATAACACTGGATTTACTTATCAGATAATAGTGTTCTTATATTATCGTGCAAGATATAATTAATACAATTAATATTCAATATAAATAAAATCTTCCACATGAACCATGTGAAATTTTGCGTCTTCCGTCAGTAAATTAGATTTTTTAGTTTTAATGAAGATTTTTATATTATTCTAAACTTTGATTATTAAAATATAATAATTTATACTTTTTAATCGATCGCGTAGTATTATCTGTTAATTGCTTGCCACAAAGATTGTGAGTTACAGTTATTGTTGCAAAATCAATTTTTTTAGCAGAAGATAAAAAAATTTGAGAAAATTCTTGCATATATCTGCAAATATTTTACTCTATAATATATAATTCCAATTGTATTTTATGTATTTTAATTTTATAGATTTAAATTTATCTACCAGAATTTACAATCAAAATATCAACTGTGCCTTCAAGGTCCAACTTGACTAGCGGAGGATTGAAATTATATATGTAATTATACTTTTCGATCGATCGCATTATTATACATTGCGTGCCACAAAGTGATTGCGCAAAAAGAAACACATATTTTGAGACGACATGCATAAAGATCGAGTTAATTAGAATTATTCTTAAAGTTTATTTTTAGCAGTAATTTCAATTTCTGGTTAAAAAATATTTAAACATATTTAGTGGAAGTATAATATTATTGCAGTATTAAATTAATATTTACTAACTAAAATACACAAGACATTTTAAAATACAACAGACATTTTTGAATTATATATTTATATAAGTACCGCACGAATTACTGCGTTTTTTTAGGCTCTTAATTGCCCGTTATTTATATTCTTGTGTATTTTAATTAATTATTTCAAGAGAGCCCAATTTGATTGATTTATTGTTTTAATATTTATTATTCTATTTATTATTTTATATATCTTTCCTCTTCGCGAATAAGGCCGTTTATATGGTCAAAGACAGTTTATTATCTATACGAAAAATTGTACAAAATTTATAAAATATACAATATATGTATATATTACAATAATATATATTCGATATCGTTGCAATATATGTATATGTTACATAACAGAAATCGCACACAATCACTTTCTTCATACGTATTTCCGGATAGCGGATCATTTCCGCGATCACGATTTAACGAGCACTTTTTTAGGGGGACCATGGTATCGTTTTGTTAACTGAATTATTCTTTCCGCCTCACGAATACCGCTAAGCCTTGCACCATGCACTGTACTGTAATGCCCAGGTACAGTAGCTTCGCCCGCGAATAAAAGTATGGGAGGTATCGCTTCGTAAGAGTCTAGAAACCATGACATACCTAGTTAAAAAAATACTGAAGCTGTCACTAACGGAATTGTAATAATGTCTGATATGATCGAGCTGTAACTGTAAATAGTTATCTGACGTTTTTATTTTTATATTAAATTGAGGGCTATATACATTTATAGCCATCAATGTGTAGCATCTCTAAATATTCAAAATTCAGAGGGAAGAGCTCCAGAAAGATATTTAAGTTATATATCCAGTTAAATACTCAAATAGCAAAAGTAGCATCAAATGACGTCTTAATTGTCTTAATGATATCTCTAACAATAAATGTTATTAAAACGTCACCTTACTACTTGAATATTCGCGAACGAAAGTTGAAAATACCTGGTAATGGACTAGCCAGATCACATTGGTGACCAATGGTGCTGTCCATCGCCATGTAACTGTAGGCTCCAACAAAGTATTGGTCCATGCACCACTTGCTCCTGAGAATGTTGGCCGGGTAAGGTAACGTCGGGTCGCCGGTAAACCGACGTAAAACCGTCGTTATCGACTCTACCACCTCTTCGTCAGGACACAGTTCCATGTCCATCGCTTCGCGTCCACATACCCAAGCGCACAACACATGTTGAGAATTGGGCAATTCCTCCACATTTGCCATACCTAAATGTAAGCACTTTCGTTGACTTGATTTTTTTTTACATCGCAGTAGTTATATATTTTACATCGTAATATTATAAATAACAACCTTTCACCCAATCGCATCTATCTGCTAGTTCTTCAGCGGACCAAGCCAACTTGATGGCACCCTCTCGCCAAACCCAGAATGGTCTCGCGTATTCCAGGAAGATTTTGTTAACGTGTCCATACCCGAGCCTTCTGATTGCCTCGACTTTTTCAGCAGGTAATCCTGGTAAGAACAATTTCGTGTGCTGATTTTTTAGGACACCAAGTGAAACGGTTACGATCACATAATCAGCAGGGATCTCTTCGCCGTCATTACACTTCACGATAGCTCGTGGACACGCGTCACTTACTGCACCCCACCGAATACAATTAACTGGTTTACAATACCTTAAATTAGGAAGATAAATGAGAAAAATACCGAAATTAAATGATCATTTTTAAATAGTATTTTACAAACAATTAAAGTAACAAACAGTTAAAACTTAAAACTACTTGATTAAACAGAGAAAAAAAAGTTTTTTTTAATTTTTACGCAGTCATTCGTTTAGATCGGGCCTTAAAAAATTTTTCTGTAAAATTACAGCCTTATAAATTTATCTTTTAATTTATATTTTGTATAATCGTCAAATTTATGACATAGTCTGTATTCATAAAATTCAAAGTTAGTAACTTTCGTGAAATTCTTTCTTAATCCTCCCTTAGAGTGGTTTTTATTAAAAATAAATTGATAAATGTAAAAACTTTTTTAAATTGTGAAACAATAATTTACGTTAAATAATGTGTATAAAGCATTTTTATATATATTTAGCCAGTTTATAAGGTATCCTGCATAGAGTAATATGGAAATTAATATTGTAGTTTAATTTGATTTCTTTATGAAATAATGATCGATGAAGTAGAAGATTAGACACGTTTTTGTACGAACCTGACGCAAGAATTAGGTAGATCTCGAAGCAAAGGGGCCAGCACCCCAACATATCCCAAGGGTACTCTGATATTTCCACCAGGGATCTCGATGTAGCTGCCGAATTGATCAGCTGAGACAAGCGAAAGGTCATCTCCGCATCGACATTTCATGCAATTTGTCATGCCGTACATCACCCTAGCGGCATCATATCTGGAAATCAAGAATCATTCATATTATTATTTCTGATTATAGGTGATGAACGTAATTGAGTCGTAATTAGTTGCAGCGATGTAATGGTTTTACTTTTGTGAACCAAATTGAATTTAAAAAGCAGCGTCCAGTTAAATAAAATATTCTCCCCTTTAATTATTTATATATAAATATGCATTACATTTGCGTTTTTTAAATATATATATTTGACTTTTTACCGTTCATAAATAAATAATTATTTGTACGTATAGTCGTATCTTTTTGTTCGAGTGTTTAAATCTGCAAATTATATTTACATAATATTTTCTAAATATCATATCCTAAAAAACAAATAAAAAATCATATATTTCTAATCAATGAGAAATTCCCACTCATCTGATGGTCACCCAAGCAAACCCTTTATATCGCTCCCAATATGGCTTTGAAGTTGACCTGGGCAACTGTACCGTTGCTCCTCCGGGAAATTGTGGAGCTCCTGTTGAATTCTGATGCCCATAAAATTCAGCAACGTACCGTGAGCACGACCGCAGCCAAGAGAAAAGAGAGCCGCCGCCTGTTGCTCGATTTGCCGGAAGGTATGATACGCCGCGATGCTGACTGGGAAATCAATGGCTCTACCATCGCTGGTACAGAAAAGTCCACGACTCGGATCTGGCCTAAAGAGCGGTGTCTTCAGTAGACCTTCCTGTGCCGCTAGAGTGAACACTGGGTTTGCCACGCTACCACCCTCGATCCACGTGGCACCCATTTCTGTCACCACGTCGCCCAACCAGCAAGAGTGGATCCGTCCACCTGGTCTGGAATTAGAAATGCATTAATTAGTTTATATAAAAGCAAAATTAAAAACAACGATCTATTTTTATGGATCAGGACTAATAAAATGACAAAATGTATTAAAATAACATTAAAATAACACAGCTAAACTTGTAGCTATAATATGTTATTTCGAGATATTGTAAGAGTCATTAAGATAATAAAATGTCCTATCACTTTAGTTTAATTTAGTTAATGTTAGGATATGCCATACACCAGTGTGTTGTACTTATACAGTAAGGGGTTTATTAAAATTAATTTTTTAATTTTAATGTTAATTTTGAATTTGTTCAAGATACCTATCTGTGGCTTCTAGAACTGTAAAATTATGGAGACCACACTGAACCAATCGATGTGCTGCCGATAATCCAGCCATGCCAGCTCCTATGATCACGACAGTTGGTTGTGGTTTGCTCGGATCTATCATACAAGGATCCAGCTGATACGATTCAAAGTTTGTCGACTTTGTACATTCTGATATATCTTTTTTACTTCCTCCACCTTTATCCGAGAATAATCTGCAACGCAGAAGATCATTTTATTCGATTACTTTTGATTGCAAATAATGAAATCCAATTTCATTAACAAATGCATCAATAATATGAAAAAGTACCATTTTAGTAAAAGAACTGTGTAATCTCATTTGACGATTGATTAATTCCTGCATACCTTGTGAAAAATCGCAATAGCTTCCTAGATGGTACCCTAGATTTGAAGAGCATTTCATTGATTGTATGGTATTAAAACCAATTAATTTATAAAAAAAGGAGGTTATTAATTGCTCGGAAATTTAAACGTATATAATTTAGACACGGGTTGCTATGAGAAAGACATGTCATTTACAAACAAATAACTTCGACCATTTGCGACTTTCTACTGTTGTTTTGTTCTTTCGCATTTATCGAGCGATGCATTACTTGTGATAGTTTTAATTGTAATTTAAATTGGTAAAAGAATTGATAATTTAGTAAGCTTACAATATTAATAATAATTAGCAAATAATCAATTCACAGCTTTCCTACTTTAATAAAAAAAATTCGGATATAATAATATAATTGAATATAGGTAATCAATTTGCAAACATTCTCGTTGTTTCATAAAGAGTTCTTGTTGCGTTTCCAAAAAAACTTTAGGTAATTAACATTCAAAGCGATAAAAGCAGAAATGAGAAAATATAGAATTTTAGTTTTCGTTTAAAAATTTATAATTTGTGAAAATAAGTTAATATTAAATTGAGGACCTATAAGATATAAACAAAATTGAAAAATTAAATGACCTATATTATAGCTTCGCATTTATTTCTTATATAACGTCTAGTTATTATATAATATATGTATAGATTTAATATTTGCACATTGATAATTGTTAGAATGCATATTTCCTAAAGTTCATTCGATTGAAAGTATATCGTGCGAATAACCGATAAAGCGACGATCATGTTTCGTAGATATCTAATATAGTTAGAAGATTAATATACATTCTGTTAATGCAAAAGTAACTATCATGAAAAGTGCGAGTATTTATTACGCGGAGAATGCATAAACTCGGTGTTAAAACCGATCTATAAGACAAGGAATGTAAAAATCTCGAAGCATATCACTTTTAAAATTAACGCATCGGATTGGCTGACAAGCTCGCGATCTGCGACTCGCGATCTGCGTGTAGATCGGACTTAAGAATAGGCGGGTAGCGTTCAAGTTTTTTGGTGCGTGAAGTTGGTCGCGCCGAAAACGAAGCCGTACCTTCCGCCATCTTGACGCATTCGTGTTCATTTGCATGACGCAACGGACACTGAACGGATCGGTTCCGGATATATCCGGCATCGCGATTCATTAATTGGTAAGGAAACTTATATGCAGTGATGGGTAAGATACTTTTAAAATGTATCTAGGTACAGATAATTGAAAAGTGCAGTCTTCAGATACACGTATCAGATACTTTTAAATTATATCTTATATTTTAGTATAATAACGGTAATATTCAAAATGAGAGTGCGTTTCACTTAACGTTCGCAACGCTCGCAAGTATCATTTTATCCTTTTCGTCATTAAATATATTCAACAAGGATGAGAAAATATGTCAATAATTGATATTTTTTTAAATTGAAAGATATGTATAACATCTCACACGGCAAAAATTTCCGAAATACATCAGACAGATGTCCTAAAGATATCTCATATCCCAAATATATCTTTAAGATATCTCTAAGATATATTTTTGATACATTTGCAGTGTGGGATATTTATTAACAATCTTTTTAGTTGTGGTTGCTCGTGTAAATTAAACAAGCAGCACTAAGCAGACTAAACTTTGCAATTGCTGCGCTTAATAATTAGAATCGTTACGTAATAGTCATTTGTCGATAATTATATTCACATGTTTCACATTGCATCGTGACAAAATTGTGTTATATACGCATATACGAACGTTTTGTGTGTAATTCTACATCATAAATAAATTTTGCATGTATTCTTATTGTATATTATGTTATATATTTAATTTTATAATGTATTTCTTACGGTAATGTGTTACACATTTAATTACATAATGTAAAATAAATTATATATACAAAATAATGTAAATAGTAAAAAAAATGTGAAAGAATGTACCGTAAAATGAGATAACTTTAGTTTAGTCGAGACATCTTTTGTTCAAATTTTGAAAAATGTCTAGGTAGCACGCATATTCGAAATCAGAACGTCTTTAAGGCCCATTTTCACAATATACAGTTACCTAAAGATTAAAGGTTACCAACAGATTCATCAATGAAATTCATTCATGAATTTCTTGGTTATCTTTAATCTTTAGGTAACCATATATTGTGAAATCGGACCTAAGACGGTTTTAAGACTTCTTATGTCTAGATTTTGACATGTGTGTTGTTTAAGCTTTATCAAAATTTGTGTCAAAATTATCCCGATTTTAAGCTGAATCCCATTTTACAGTATAATGTGTAAATTCCGAAACACAATAAATGCAATAAGCCTTAAATCTTAAGAAATTTATTAATCACAATCGATTGCGAGAAGAATATTCGACTATGATTGGTCAAGGTTTAAGACTTACTACACTTATTGCACTTTAGAACTGAAGAAAAGAGGACTTTAAAATCTAAAGATATTACTTTTTATAAAGAAAATCTAAAGATATTACTATTTATAAAGAAAATTGTAAAATCTAATTTAGATAAAATATACATAATAACTACAACGATATTTAGTAAAATATATATGTTTCTAATTTAAATATAATTTGCAGGAATTTTACCTGTGTGTTTCCTTGTTCTGATGTCACAATTTGAGAATCTTCACTGATGGAAATTATATGAATGTCATAAAGAAACGCTAACAGATGATTAAGTGAGGAAGAGGAGATTATAGAAGTATTGGGCAATGTCAGAAAACAATATGGTAAATACTTTATATATGTATATATTTATTGATGAGAGATTCTGTTGATGTTACATAAAATAATTACTCATCAAGCTTTGATAGAAGGGGAAACTATAATTAAACCCTTTTTCGCAGTTTTGTTATATTTTTAGACACAATTAATATATATGTTTGTTGAACAAAAACTATTTAACTTAATTTATCATAAATAGTTAAAGTTTTATTTTGCTATAAAAGCATCAAATAAATAATATTAATATTAATTATTTCTTAATAAAAGATAATAAAGTTTTATTTGATATTATTATAAACGCGAGAGCATTCTTAATGCAATTTTAAATTACGATTTTTCCACTTGAAATATTATAATCTAAAGAAACGATGATTTCTATACAAAGATGCCTATCAATAATTAAATAATGATCTAGAAAATATTTTAATCAAGACTTCAAGAAGCAAAATTAATTTCATTTTTATAATAAATCGACGATATTTTGCCAACTAATCGTCCGAGTTAAGCGAATCTTACACAGATTTCTATAACTAGCTGCTCACTTTGATTATTTTGTGTATGATAGTAAGAGATAAATATGTTTTCAAGCTGTCCTTGTTTGTCAACATCTATGCATATGCATACTGTGGTGTGTGCATGCATAAATAGGTACTCAAGAAATAAGCGCCTCTATCGGAATACTGCTTAATATGGCAGTGAAGTAAGCAGTCTAGTTATAGAAACTTGTTGTCTTATATTCTTATTTATAGATACACTAGATTTTTAGTTTTTAAACGAGATCAAAATCGTTTTGATGCAATTTTTTACAAAATTATTTTCGAAAATATTGGCGATTATATGATCTTATAATTTGACGTAGCCGGCCAGCGCGCGCATTTCTATGGTGACGTAAATACGATGATGATCGTATTTCAAAGTGCATATAGTACACGTATTTTTTTTTGTAGCTGTCACCTGAGACATGAATTTACAAGCAAAAAATAACAGCGCAAAATTCTTTCATACACGATGCATCTGATTTTTAAAACGCTATCATGATTTTTAAAACCTGACATTAAAACTCTAATTTTACGAAAGATTGATAATAGCAACAAAGGCACCACTTGAAGCTACAAATGCTTTGAAGCATTCTTTGATTGGTTAATTAGTAACATTCTTTCTTCTGTTCGTCAATCAAATGCTTTGAAAAATTTGTAAAACTAATGCCCGTTTCTACTAATGTAGATTAACTTTATAATCTCGATCTAACTTACTCTTCATCTTTTTTTAATTCTTTGCTAACTAAAAAAAGGTAAAGAAGTTAGTTGAACCCAGATTATAAAACTAAACTGCATTGGTAGAAACGGGCGTAAGTGGACAGCATCCAAAAACTGATTTCCTCTGCAGTTTCACATTCTGCAAATACCTGCATTGGATATATAGGTGCACTTTTTATCATGGCAATTATACAAGTATATAATAAAATAAGTAATAAAATGCTAAAATGTAAAATATATATTGAAGAACCGCCAATAGAAATATTAAAAAATAATAATCAATCTTTAGATATTATACGCTATTAAGATGTTACGTAATTGATATAGATTCTGCATATAATTAAGACATAAAAATTCTTAATTTACAATTAAAGCGGGGAGCACAGACTCTTGCATAATGCATAACATGTAATGCATAAGAAAATGTACCAATCGAAATTCTTCATTTCCTTTCTTTCCATGAAATAAAGAACACTGATTGGTTCAATTTCTTATGCCTCATGTGTTATGCGTTATGTAAGAGTCTGTGCTCCCCGCTTAAGAATTTATGAAGCTATAAAAAATAATACATAATATAATTAATCAATCACGAAATTTTACGGAGGAAAGATCAGTTACGATATTTTCTGCATATTTTTCTTTGACTCTAAGTTTAAACTTTCTATTCTTGTCGCAATATCGTCCGTCGATTTTATGCCATTTTTAATCGATTCTTTATTAAGAATCGGTTTTGTTTGCAAAATTTCTGTCGTTATACTGCGTATTTCATTCCATGAGATAGCAATGTCTTCTTCCCGACATAATCGGCTGCAAATAACAAATCTAGCAATAAGTTTATCATGATACGTGCCGGCGACGAGAAAAACTTTTTTCTTAGCCTGCAGACGATCTAAGAGTTCCTTTGTTAAACTGTTGTCACCCTGAAAAGAGAAATAATTTTGGAAGTATAAAAATATTCGAAATAACGTCATTAGTTTATGATTAAAGTGTAACACTATAATCAAAAAGAGATTATAATATTACATACAAATTTAAACGATAAATTAAACATACACACATGATAAATTAATTATTCGAGTTAAATAGAAATAAATTTGTTTAATTAAGATAGAAATTTATAAGTATAAAAAATAAAAAGAAATTATCTGTTATTGAAGCTATATAATTTTTCATTTGTAAACTTGGAAAAGAACTTGCAGAAAAAAAACATGTATACCTTGATACGAAAGCAGACAAGACCCAAAATGACTTCAGTGGTTATTTCAAATCTATCATCCGACCTGATATATGTTTCGAAACAATGCGCTAGTTTTATGTTATTTCTAATATATTCCTGAAGACCTTGTACTCCATAAATGCGCATGACAAACCACAATTTTAAAGAACGAAAACGTCGGCCCAACGGTACCTGCCAATGCTGTATATGAAAAATTTAAGAAAAATTAAAAACATTTTTTTTCAGTTACATATATCTAATGATACTTTAATATTTTTAATTACATTTTTGATTTATTAGAAAGTCTATTAAGACAAGAATATTATGTTAGTAAAAAAATGTATAAAGTCTTACTCTGTAATCCGGTAACAATCCTTCTTTATCGTGTGAAAGATATATTCTGTTAACACTGAATGTTTCTTCAAGGCGTCTCGAATCTTTTACCCTAAAAGTAAAAACAAATACAGTTTATATAAATATAAACTTATTCTATAAAACATTACCGTAATTTCTATTCATAAATTTTTGTTTTACGTAAGTAAACTTATTTTTATTTAATACGACAGCTTGTTTTAAATTTTATTTTCCTAAATTCTTATATAATAATTTAAATTGAATATTTTATAAATTATCTAAATTTTATATTTATTATGTAAATTTTTCTATTAAAGAGTATACAAAAGAGATTTAAAAGTTAAAAAAAAATTAGTATTTATTTATTATATGAGAAATATGGTAAGAAAAAAGACACATTAGGACAAATTTACTTAAATAATTCGATTAAATTAGTTTTACTTATTGTTAGTAATATTATTGATATACATACCACATTACCGAAGCATCAAAATTTACAAGCATCCATTTGTGCACGTTTACATTAAAAGAATCCACGTACTGAATGCCGCTCATCAAATATCGAAATTCCGGACAAATAAATGCTGCACCTGAATTAATATTATTAATTAAATTATTAAAATAAATTTTGTTATTATATTATATAAATATGAATAACACAAATTGCAAAGCCAATAATATTGGCTTAGCTGGTAATTAATTAAATAGCACGAGTCCAATATTTCTTTATTTCTTTATATTTCTTTATATTAACTTTAACGATTGACGTAATACATTATGACAAATATATAAGATAAAAAGATAAAGTTAATGAAAAATATAGCTAATAAAGAAAGAGATAAATCACTACCTACCCGCGTAAGCTGCATCAATGTGCAACCACATATCATATTCTTTGCATATTAGTCCTATCTCGTCCATATTGTCGAAGGCACAGGTGCTGGTAGTTCCTAAAGTAGCGACGACATAACACGGTATAAGGCCTTTCTCCATATCTTCCTGCATTGCTTTCTTTAAAGTTTCTCCGCGCAGAGAGCACTTATCATCCACTGGTAGCAACCTCATTAGCATTGATCCTAGAATTCCTGCCTTCTCCACTGAAGAATTAGATTGAGCTAAATGTGTAAAAAAAACATATTTATACAAATATTCGACATAGGACTGGTAGAAACGTAATCTGTACACTTGTAGGACATAAATCAATATAATACACGAATTTATATTAGACTTATAATATTATATTATGTAACACATACATTTTTGTATCTCAAAATTCTTTTATTTTTATTAATACTTACTGGAAGTATATGCGACTAGTTTGGCTTTGATGCGATCCTCATCCAGTTCTGGATGAAGTTGTTTCACTCGACGCACTGTGCGTTCTTTCGCAGCTAGTAAACATATGAATGAAGATTCACTGGCAGACCCCTGGAATTAATAGACGAATTAAAACATGATTAAATTTTTTAAATATTAACCTATACAATATTAAATACATTGAAACATGTATTAATTTATGTATAGTAATAGTACGCTAATAAGATTAAGATATATAAAGTAGGATTAAATAGAAAATACGTGTATAGAAAACATTTAATTAAAATATATGTGTACATAAAAAAAAATAATTTTTTGGTAAAGGTTACATATAAAAAATATAATGTTAAAATGTTACAAATTTTATTTAAAATTATGATTTAAAATATAATTTACTGATAGATAGATAGGTACTTTATTGATTTCTCAAAAGGTTATAAGCAACTTGTGTTTCACAGTAACATTTTTTATATCTATTATTAAAATATTGTGAATATTTATTTAAAGATAGATAGATTTTTATAAATAGATTTTCTTATAGAAATAGATATAAATAGAATTTTTTCTTATAGAATAGTTGAAAGTAATTAATTATAGAATTGGAAAGAGTAAGGGGACTAGGAATTGAACGCAGAAGACGTCGCGCAAATAATACACTTATAAAGAATGAAACTTCTTTATTCACTAAAACGCGCTTACATGTTTCGACTCATTTTTTAGCCTTCCTCAGAGCAAACACACACCAATATATATAAAGTAAAAGTTATCCTGTCATGGTGAGCTCCCCTACATCGAGAATTTAAACGCCACAATTAAATAAAAAGAAAGAAAAGAAAATGAAAAAGAAGGAAAATATTAAAAATGTCAAATTAAAAAATATAGAAACTAATTTATTGAAAAACTAACCGAAAATAGGGACGCTCACCACAATTACAAAGTACCGTATCGCAAACATTATTACAAATAATTCAAGAACCGGTTCCTGATATGTTGACCAGTCGGTATCAGACACAATGAGTCACTTTTTAGTTATTAGCTAGTACTAATGA